ACATGGTCCCTGAAATGACGACAGCTGACATGCTTGATAGAAACCCACGGAAGAAAGTGAATAGCTTTTTCCCTAGCCGTCTATGTTCATACCTGGTACGATAATGGCTGAATGACTTGTATTTGTGTGGCAAACTGCGTGACTTGGCTCACCACTGCTTCCACCGAAAGAAATGAACATCGGCGTCTTTGTTGTGTGCATTACCAACAAAGAAAAGGAAGGCTAGTATTAGCCATGGTCGGCTAGTCATACCCAATCCTAGATAATGTACCCCCAGAGGCTGGACCTCGTGATATTCTGGTTAGAAATCTAACGCTCTTTCCTGTGAGTCACGGGTTCTTCGTCTTGTCTGCTTAACTAGGGTATGGTGACATTAACGGAAGGACGCTCAACGACTCTTTACTTTTAATACGGCAGAATCGGACGAGAGAGTTCTGTTATCGAACGGTGAGTTTTCATCCGTCAGTACTTCTTATGGCTAACGCAGGGGGTATCCTGACAATCGTTCGTCATCTACCAAAACTATTTGTCTGGTGACGCAACAATTACGTATAATTACTTTACTTTCTGTAATCCGGTTGCCTCGGGTGTCCTACCTCTGGCATCCATAAACTTTTCAGTAGCATCTGGATCCACGAAACATATTACGAAGTCGACTTACATTTTCCTTCGGTATTGTTTTCGATAGTGTAGTCTCTAAGACTAAACAAGGTACAGTGAGTTGCAATATAAACCCTTTTTGAAAAGATGAGTCGGCCAAAAGGAATTGGCCAAACAAATGAGTCTATTTCGGGTGGACACAGGAAAAAAAATGAGGGTGGGGAACGGAAGGCGAAGATGCGATCATTGGAACAGGAGGTTCATTGGTCTGAGGTTCCGAATTCTTGTTACAAATCATCGCAGACAAAAAGGCTCACTGCTACTGTCGGAAAAATCTAGAGACATTTAACGGATCTGGTGCAGGCTTGCACTATAGGGCGGGGAAACTGGGAGATTACTCCGGACGCGAATGACCAGGAGTACAGCATCGGTAAAGAGATTGCAATTAATTCAATGTGATCCGACCATGTTTTCAAGTTTATGGAGGCTGACCTCCTCGCAAGGCATGACAACCGCGTGAACCACGTGCTACTCAAATTATGGTTCTCTGACCTTCAGTCCACCAATAAGCGCAATGACCTGCCATACCCATGCACAATACCGACTACAGGGGAGTCCGTCACGTGAGGAGGATGAGGGCGGCCAACAGTTTTGATGACAGCGAGCCAAATGGCCACGTAATCATCACAGCGACATGCAATATGGATGATGAAATCGTGGTTATTAACGACTTGGAAGCGGAGTACCAAGCCCTCGACCCAAACTTTATGACCTCCTGCTGTGATCACACGAACTATTACTTTCAGTACTCATATGGTCGCGTAACCACTACGGACTATAAACACTGCGCACATTTTGCCTTTATTACCCTTGTCCGTGATTCCTTCTGACGGTGGGTTAGAGCGAGAATCATAAACGCCATGCCAAAAAGGTGCAGGTTATAATGCAAATAGATCGAACAGAATGCCACCTACGATGGAAGTGGAGACGTTCAAAATTGCTGCGCCTGAAGATAACATGATATTGGAAGACGTCCAGGTGGTCTGTAGAATGTAGCCTGGAAATACTGGAAACATTTGGATGTCAATATGTTTTTTTAGTCTTTGCACATACTTAGGGGATATAGGAGCATAGGTGGCGCCTTTGATGACAAATACATTTCTTTTCATTCCCTGCGGCCAACTAGGGCAAGACGCGCTTTTCATTGCCACAGAAGTTCACCAGTTCGGAGAAGGGAATCGAACTAGCGGAAAACCACACGCACTACCTTTTGATTGATACGAAAGGCAAGAAAGTCAGCGATATGATTATTTTCCGGACCCAGTTTGAAGCCTGGATTTCAAGGCGCGCCGAAATAGGTATGTTTTCTCTGCAAACCTCCTCATAATAATTGAGTCTATTCTGCATTTTACCAGTTCGTTAATGTTAGTAACCATTATAATGTCTCCTCTATCATAGCGACTGCTGAAGCCCAGAAAGTTGATGATAAAGACGCGCGCCGCTTTACCACAGATTTTGCGACTACGTCCAGACAGAACTCTGAGCCCCAACACATTCCTGGTAAGTCACCATGCTGTGGTTTAATGTACAGTATGGGACCTATCTGACGCAAACTTCCGAAATGATCGATAAACTAGTAATCACGCGAAAACTGGCATTAACGCACGTATGAAAACTGTAAAATAATAACGAAATAACTTAAGCGCATATAAGACTGAAAGGAATTATAAAAATATGTATAGTTTGTTAAGAAATACCAACTTTGTAAGGGAATCTCCAATTCCTAAATCGTAAAAAATCTCGGCAACTGTGACCAGTTAATGTAAACAGAATTGTCAGGAAAACCATTAATATACAATCTTCTTCGTATTAAAATAATTTTCCTTTCGTCAATTTTTATAGGAATTTCTCGTATTGCATTCTCGTACTCATCCTTGAAAGTGTAGCTACTATTTTACGATATTCTGACTTTTACATCACTTTCCAAAAAATAGATTCTGTTCGATGCGTTTATCAAAACCCTCAAAATAAGGTTTTCCTCAAAAGCAAGTACCAAAATGTAAGTTTTTAGATCTTAATTCGAATGTGCCCGGCCGCTTGTGTCATATTCGTAGACTTTCACAAACATGAAAACTCACTGCCGAGAAAAATGAACGTCCGCAACAAAAGTCCAATATAAATGTGCCTGTGATCAGTTTAAAAAAGTATTTTATATGTCACCTCTTTAAAAAGCACTTTAACTAGGTATTTGGTTGACAACTATCTGCTTAAGCTACCCTTTTCCAAGGTGAAATAAAAAAATGGCAAACTGTTCTAGGATTGCAAATTAACCAAAGGGTGATCGAATGTATATTTAAATTTTGCCAAAACTGTAAAATTTCTGTCTGCTCCGTTTCTAAACTACGCATAAGCGGAAACCATGTCTTAAAAAAGTATATTGCAGCATAATTAAAAATTATCAGTATTGTCATCGGTGTCCATCCACACGGTATAGTAAACATATTTTGTTTATGGCCATTGTATGCCTACACGAGGCTGCACACTGCGCTTATAAACATGTTCTCATGTTAAAAAGCCCTTTACCCTTCATGATACAAGGGAAAAGGCAGACTTCGTAATTTGATGGGCGGACAAAATTCCACTGCAGTTAATACTCTTAATGGCAACCAACGGGTTTGCGATTCACACAAGGGAAAATGAAATAGCCGTTTCGGGCTCATTAGCCGTCATCAACCAGTCATATTCAACTTCAGCTGGTGCAGAACTCGAGGCTCAAACCTCGCGAACTTTTGCCCAGAAGTTTAGCACTCTAGCCACTTTTATCTGCCTACACGCATAGTCGCTGCGCAGCTGCTGGCGGGGCTCGAGACTGGGCTCAATGCAGAAAGAGACAAATTTCGCTAGGGTTCGGTGAGCTTTCAACAACGTATGTCACTATTACCTACCAAGACAACGAGCCCGTGGAGAAATGGTTAGAGCATTGGACTTCTGATTAACAAATCATGGTTCGAGCTCAGTAACGTAAACAGTAACCAAGCAATGATAAATCTTAAATCTCACATTCGGAATGCTTTTTTATTAAGTGGCCGGCTGGTGGACCGAGGGTCAGTCTCAATGGCTCATTCTTCTCGTGGCCTTTACGGCCTCCTCATGCATATGGGGTCCCAACCGCCCACCCTCCCCAGCCCATGCGTGTGAAAACCTGGTGTGATTTGTGGTGGAGCAGAACTTGTGCGTGGCACGCATATGCGGGTTGTTTGGCTTTGTCAGTTACTGCATTTGCCCTGGCATCTGGTCTTCTTCAGCTTGTCTTGGAGGCAGGCTCAGCTAGGTGAAGGAGTCAAGTCAAATCAAGTCAAATTTATGAAAGGAAATAGAGGCAAAACGCCTTTGAATCCCTCTTGGTACATAGTATTCAAGAAAGGCATCGGCACAGCCGAACATTTCAAAGAAGTCGTTGACACAATTGTAGGCGATTACTCGCTTTTTTCATGTAATATACTCACATGTGGTGATGTCAGTTAACACGAGCCAGCAGTGTAACTGAGCA